CACACACACACACACACACACACACACACACACACACACACACACACTATATATCATTTTCATCTTCCTTTCTGAGAGTGAAGAAGCATTGATGTGTGACACGCAGCTGAAAACTAGTCTCATCCATCACCATCTATCCATATCACTCCAGCTATACCTTCTCCAGTAAATTTACCATTCTGGGAAAAACATCAGCTGCACAAATTCTACCCTCATACCACCCAAAACCTGCTTTCTGTTGAAATCCAGCATACCTCAACATCTTGTATCGCGTTTTGTTGCAGGCAAAGTTGTTACAAAGACTACAATTTGTCATACTTTCAACACATTCTCTTCTGTCACGCCGCATTTGTACACAGTGTCCTGCACTTTTACAGACCTTCGTTTTACTGCACCCGCGTGTGCATGTTCACCATGGCCGGCTGGACGGTAAATAAAAGATGAACCTGTTCCAGAATTAAAACCCTCACATGACTGGCCAACGGTACACGCTGATCCCAGACAGTATCCTTGTATTTACCTCTCTTTTTTTCATTCCTACTGACGGCTGTTGCTTTCTGACAGAAAAAACTAAAACTAAAACTAAACAAAAAACAACAAAAACTAGGTCACCAGCATCTTATGCAGTAATCCCAGTTCACTGCATCCAGACGCGGGCATGTGCTGTATGTTTTGCCGCCAGAGAGGTCATGATATCCTCTGACGGCACACTCGATTAACCCCTGTTGAGGACACGGGCTTTCATTGAGTTTGTACCACTGAACGAGGGATTTAGGAGTCGGCTTTCACGCAGCAGAGAGATGTAGTCATGCACATCTGAAACATCTGTGTGAGAGATGCCATTATGCTATAGAACAAATCGGTGTTGGCTCAGTTTAGCTGTGCTGAAGAGATTCACTTTGTTTGTATCACGGATAGTGCACCGCATCTCAGGATGTTTCAGAAAATATAGTGTTGGAAAAGGTGACTTGGTCGTGGCGGCGGGCTGCGACTAGTGAAGCCGGTCTGAGACGAGACAGACGCCGTACAGAAGCTCCCCTCCCCGGAAAAACACCCCACTTCCTGCATGAGAAAACCCAAGACAAGCCAAAAGTTGAGACAGGTTACATAAAGAATCAGGTCACCTATCAAAAGAATGGGCTGCTTTATCGGGCGAGCGAGACGTGCAATCAGACACAAGACAAGGGCTTTCCAGACAGGGAGCCACTGAATGGTTGCCTCTGAAAAGCCCGGCCTTGTGTTTCAGCGACAGAGGTAGCCAACACTCAGACGATCACTGTCCCAAGTGTGTCGTATGTCCTCGCACTGGCACTGGATCTGTGGCACAGGGGGAGGAAACTCTTTTCATCTCAGCGGACCAGGGGAGTCGTATCTGAAGTGAGGGAAAGTGGCAGAGCTCTCGGTTGTGCTTTCTGGACACCCACGCTTAGCGCAAGCAGAGGGGCCTTGTTTGCCGAACTAAAACCACGTCTGCGCCATTCAACTTTAGAAAAACAAGCGTTTCACAACAAATGGGATTAAGCTAGTATAAATTCTGATGGGATTTATACGCTCCGCCTCATTTAATAGCGGCTTTTAAGATTTACAGGAGGGCCTCCCTTATGTGCTCTTACACTGTCATTTCCATGACAATATTATATTTACATCTCATTAATATTTAATTATATTCTTTATGCTTTTACATGGTAAACAGCTGAGTGCGCTGCTCCCATTTCAGCAAACCCAATTGAAAGAAAGCAGCATGTATTCCCTTTCATCACCCCATAAACTGCTGCAGTAATTACAATATTACAACCTGAAAAACATGCCCAATCTACAATGAGCTGCTACCAGCGGAAAGGGAAGCGAGACTGCAAAGTGGTTGCTAAACATTTAAATTTACTTCAAAACAGTCCACTGATTCAGACACTCCCAGACTGTTGGGTCACCTACAGTTGGCATTAAACAGAGATTGGTGTTTTTGTTGTGCCACCTGTCACATGAATGAGAATGTGGAGGCTGGAGGAGGAGGAAGGACAAAGGAAGACAAAACTCAGACGTTTGGGAGGGAAGTGAGAGGATGACTGATGATGATGACAGGCTCAACTGTTTCAATATTCCTCCCCGCTGACACCTCTCCACATACACACCACTCCTCACACACTCCCTCCTCACCTCCGCAACATTTAGCACCTGCACCGTTCTGAAAATCGTTCTCTTTGAAATGAATAGCTGGCAAAGGAGTCTCTTGATGCGACAATCGGAGAGAGAAAAAAAAAAAGAAGAAAAAAACCCGGGCATAAATTCTCTCACTTTGTGACAATATTTGTTTTGCGTATAATTTGCGTTGACAGTGATCCACGGCTGTCTTGTGAGTCTGCGTCAAAAATCAGCAAAAAAAAAAAGGACCTGCCATCCGCCCGGGATTGGGGCAGAGAGGGGGAACTCCTGACAGATACATTTGAATGATCAAAAAATCAGTTTAACTGGAACATTTTCTACCAAATGTCCATTAAATAGATTACCGTCATGTGAGTGGATCAGCTGGACACCCAAATATAAGCCAGAGACAGAGAGCAATTACTGTCTTGCACAGAGAAGAGATTGGGAACAATGGCGCCTCATTTATAAAGGAAACGTGATCTAGCGCTGGGAGCTTTTAGGCGGCTGACTGTCGAATCGTGATTATTCCGTTTCTAGCATGTCTGGGTGTCTCCTGTGTCCATCATGCCGCCACGGTGGACTAATGTGGGTTTTTATTGACATTAAGGGTGGACAGGTTTCAGTTTGGGGACATCTTTGCGCGTGAATGGCACTGTACGCCTGCCAGCATCAATAAGTGTCAGGCTCTAGTGTTACGTGTGCTGAAAAACAATTCAGACTCATCAGGGTCCTTAGCACAGTGCTAAGACAGCACACGTGTCTGCGCCATCTTCACCGCTTGTCCAGCTGAAGACATGCCGTGCCTTCAGTTTGTAGTCTCCCGTCTGCCACTGCGGGCTCTTCTTAATTCTACATGGGTGCGTTTGTGTGCTTATTAGTGTCTGAATTTCTGAGATGAAGGTGTTGTCGGCCATCTCGTCCTCCTCCTTCTCCTCATCACACACACACAGACATACTCACACACACTCTCTCCCCCCACCCTCACCTCCATGACTGCAGCCTCGTCCACTGGGAGACCGGTCGGTGGTGCCACTCATGTGTTAACATCGCCATGGCAACCCCTCTCTTCCCCTTGCCCACCACGCCACACACACACACACACACACACACACACACACACACACACACACACAGCGGAGTCACTTGCCCACACCCACCAACCTCAAGACACACAGGGAATTCCCTGGACTGCATCCGGTGCAGGACAAACTTAATCCACATGCTCTGCCAGCCATCTTTGAAAAGTCCATTCATGGGTCACGTCTCTTTCAGATAACTTTGGGTGAGGTCCGAAACAATAACTGGACTTCTTTTTTTTTTTTTTTCTTAATCATGTCGTAGTGACACGAAAATTCCAGCAAAATAACCCTCTGTTCTTACGTTTATGACCGCGGCTGATGAAAGCCATCATGCAGCTGTACCAGTCAGTGTTATTGTCTCGCTAAATCAGCACAGTGGGCAGGAGACTGAGGCGCTACAGTACGTATACCTACTGCACTCTGCCTGTCGGAGCATCGCTGTTGCGTCGTCCTGTTTTGTGTTAGGGGGAACGCTCAATGTTGTGATCTTACATTGTTTTTCCAAACCCTTCTATATGCGGCCCAGATGAATGACAGACAAATAAACCATGGTGCGCAGAGGGAGAAAAAAAAAAATCTGAGTCATGCACCCTTTTTAAATCACTTTTGATGAATAACTTCTTCAGTTCTGTAGCCAAGACTACAGGCATTCATTTGGCAACTTATGAAGAAAAGGAAGAAAGATGGCGGCGTACCGCACATTGTACTGTCCATCCTAAAATGGCTGACATCACAGCCTACTATAACTGCCAAAGCCTGGCAAATGCCAGCTCCCGCTGACCAAACCTTTCTTGCATGGGACAGAGAAAGTGGCAGGGGCTCTTTCCCCACTAGCCACTAGGCCCCCCCACCCCCACCCCACCCTCTCAGTGCTGGGGCGTTTCTTTTGGTAGGAACTGTGCAAACATGCTGTTTTAGTGAGGCTTTTGAGTGGTCTGGGCTTCGATGCGGCATTGGTCCAATGACAAAAGCAATACCCAAAAGGATGAAAGACCCAAATGAAAGTGAACCTGTATAAAACATCGTCCTTTCTGGTGGGAAAAATAGGAGAATAGGATTTGTGGTTCGGACAATTTTTTACGAGGATTATGAGGTATGCCGCTATCATGAATGCTTGTTTGCATTTTAAAAAAAACGGCTCGAAAATAAATCCGGCTGGGATTGATTTTCTTCTCTGAAGTCAAGGAATGTTACACTCTCCATGTAAACTAAATCTGCAAATCATGACCATATGACCTTCCTCGGTATTCTCTGGCAGGGGATTCATTTTGAGCTGTGGGAGGCACACAACAACATCTACAGTGAAATCAGAATACCTAAATCCTAAAAAGCACAGTATTCCAGGTATACGAGGGGTGGCATGAGCAGAGACGCCGTTCTGATGAGGGGAGTGGGCAGTCTTGGCCCACTACATTGTGTCTGTGTATACAAACACTCCGCTGTGGCCATAATGAAAACTGTGAGCTGTGCCTAATTGCAGGGAGTGAGGGATGAAAGGCAATATGCCTGGCCTCATTAGAGCAGTTCCGAGAAGGGAGATGGAAGACCGTTCCCAGGGATCCACAAAGGGAATTGACATTCCCCCAGTGTAAGCGTCCTGCTGGAGTGAAATCCTCCACACACACACACTGAACTCACCGGGCCGAGCTGAACCCGATCTGCCCGATCCGCACAGCGAGAGCTCATTTACCTTTTGTTTGTCCGGTCATCACACACGCCTGAAAATGAACTATCATCCGCTGGACTCTACTCCACACTTGGAGTCACTCTCCGCAGTCCAAACACCTACACTCTCGGGAAAACCTCAGCAGCAGAAGCGTTGCACGGTCATTTCCACGACCTACATTATATGTGACAAGCTTACAAATGATTCAAATAAATTCCAAAAATGACCAATGCCTGTCTAGCTGGTTGCTTGAATATTATGGGGTTGACTCTTGTGTTATGGACACTGGACTCACACATGATTGTCAGAGGCAACATTAGTCAGCACAGAGGTCCCTCCCCTAAAGGCAGAGGGGAGACACATGGCATTCAGAGCTGGCTCAATATTTATGTACAGATAGAAAACGTGACATACAAGAACTGATATTTTTTTTTATTCTATCCTTCACTGATAAACTGATAATCCACAGTTTGCTAAATATCTGCGTGCTCCTGAAATGAGCAGTTTTTCTTACTGTACTGTATATATGTTTCAGTGTGTGTGCGTGTGTGTGTGCGTGTGTGCGCGCGCGCGTGTCGGGCAGCAGCACATGTTGACAGGAGGAAGAGGAGGAAATGAAAGAAAAAGAGTCCTATGCATAGAAATACAGGCCTACCTTTCAGCTCGGGCAAGTGGAAGAAATGTGTAGCGAGTGAGCGATCAATAGAGGAAAATTGATACTTGGCGTGCAGTTTGAACATGGACTCGGAGGCTTCTTTAATCAGTCGTTAAGTCTGCTATGGCACTGTGTTCAGAAGTCTTTCACAACTGTAAAACACTCACACTCACGGCACAGTGGGGGAAATACAGCGCGTTGTGCAATAAAATAAGCAGATACGCCACATTGTATAGCGCGAGAAGGAGCGCAAATCCAGCCAGACGGAGGATCGGTTGTTGTAACTGTAACAAACTGACGAATTAACCCGTTTCACTCCATTCACAAGGCTGTGGGGCAACACACTGCCTCGGAGCCTACTTGCCAAAGCCGATCTGGCACTCTATAACCTTAATGAATATTCCCAAAAATCCTCCACCCCCCTCCTCCACCTCCTGTCGCCATTTTATACATTGGCGACTTCATATAAACTGCCTTGACTACAGCACCAGATGAAAATTCAATATTCAGTGGCGAGGCTTAATTTCAGTAAACAACTTTGGAGATCGCACCTCGCCAATAAAGAGAGGTATTCGCGTTCTGGAAGAGTAGATGTGTCCTTACCTCAACAGTCGGTGGGAAAAAATGGAATCCGACATTAATATATCAATGAATAATATTGGATTAGCTCCGATCGTTGCGTTTGGAGAAGAAGAGGAGGCGTGCAGGGGGTGGGAGCTCTCCTCAAGTGAACCCGGTGAACTGGCGTGAACCCTTCAGTGACCACGGCAAGGTACATTACATTACATTACCTTTCCACCCCTCAGCCACACTGTATGGAGACGGCAAAACAACTATGGTCGGCAGTGCAGGACGAGGCAGCTCCAAAAAAATTATAGCGAGTGTAGCCTATTTCCTATGAACACGTGATTCGGAGCGTCATCCAAAATCCAAAAGCCCTTTCATCTAAAATTTTGGAGAGGGGCGGGGATGAGATGGGGATGTGTGTGCGAGTGTGTGTAGAAGGGAGGAGGGGGGGAGAGGGACGTATACTGAGCCCAGTGCACATTTGGGTAAGTCGTTATAGGGGTAAGGGAGTGCTCTAACAGATTGGGTTATACATAGCTACAATGGCGCCGCGGAGCAGGCTGAACATATGGATTGTATTGTGTACATTTGGGATATTAAAAGAGTTTAGGGATCTGCCGTTTCAGGGAGATTCAGCAACCAAAAGGTCCTCTTAATCTTAAATAGGTCACATGTTGTTGTTTTTTTTGCAATAGAGTGCTGCCGTTTTTCGGAAAAAAAAGATCTCATGATCGTTGTGGGAATTGCCATTTAAAGCACAGGCCTATTAGCCCACCGGCTTAAAATAGAATTTTACGCACACGCGTAAAAGTGGTAGACCATTGACGCAGATGAACAGTAAATGTAGCCTAGTTGTACATGTCCACTTTCATAGTTAAACATAAGATGCCACTTTTTCATTTGATAGAATCACCAATGTTACTTATGTCTTGCTGTGCAGAATATGGGCTATATGGCTGTGACCCTCGTGACCTCGTGGGCCTTCTGTGCGTAAAAGCGCGCTGAGTAAAGTGCAGAGGCTCAAAACAGGGACACGTTTAGAATGAACGTCTAATAAGACAGAAATTAGAGAAAAACCTGCACATCCCTTCATATTTAAATACACTTGTCCCTTTTACATTACACTTGTTTAAAGTACTCTTATCTGTTTGTCTGTGCACTTTATTTTATATTCTTCTATATTCTATTGTACGTAATTCACACAGCTGTTCACACAACTGATCGACTGACTTTGGCATTTGAAGATGATGCGATTGCAAGAAATATATTTATATTTCTTGCACTGTTGATTGTTTAATGTTATTGTTTAATGCTATTGTCTGTTATGCACCACCCGCCATGACAAATTCCTTGTATGTGAAACATACATTGGCAATAAACGGTTCTGATTCTGATTCTAGTACAGAAATAGTATTAAGTATGATAAGATTACTCTGAAACCACTGAGCATTATGAGTACATTATGTGCCTACTTAGAAATATTATAGTACCCTAATATGAGGGATTTAGACGTACACTTAGCTATGTGTATAACAGGTAGGGGGACTACAGCCAGAGGCCTACAGCATATACAACATAAAGTTGTTAAGTATGGACATATTGGGCTACTACCGGCCTCCATTGTTTCGGAAACATGGATTTGCTCTTCCCTCCCAGTTTGTCCTGACTGGGTTCAGATGGTGCCTGTAGCTGTAGCTGTGTATGGTCAGGATAAACAAAGATTATCTATCAGGAAGATGAATAACTCAAGGGTAAAACAAAAACCCAGCCGGTGCGCTGGAGTGAGTCGTGTTGTTGTTCATGATCTGGTATAATACTAGGACTAAAAGACATGTGCCTCTACTATGACAAAATGTAACTTTTCTTGTGAAAACAATATATTTGGTGCACATATATGCCGGTACTCTGCTGATCAAGTGATGGAAAGGATACCAGCAGTCATGGCTCAATACAATATTTTACTTTTTACTTGTTAGCATTTTTGGAACAATACAGTCTTTGCTTTTGGGGGAGCGGGTATCCGTCGGATTCCTCTGGTTCTGTTGGCACTATCTCCTCTATTGCAGGTTTGCTTTTAAGTCCCAGTCGGCCTATGAGCAGCAGGACTGTTGAATACAGTTTGGATGGTACAGAACATGTTTCTCTTGATTATCATCTAATCATGTAAAATCATGCTGGTTTGTTTAAGGTTGACAGTTTATTTCTACGGTTACATTTCCTGGAAAAAATGTCAGCCAAAGCTCGAGGAATATAGCCTCAAAGGTGTCAACACTTGACCAATCTTCAGCATCATTCATGTTTAGATGGAGGTGGCAATGTGCTTACATTATACACCATATTTCTGTAGTTCGTGGTCAGATTAAGTTCATGCACAGCATCCATGATAAGTAGATACTGTTGCTATGGTTACCCACAGTTTGTGCACTGGTTTACGAAACACAGACATGATTTTAAAGCACACTTTTTTTCTGTGACCATGACACGGCTGAATATTCTCATGACCCAGTCAGATGTTTTAAATAAAAACCATAACACGTCAATAAAAATGTAGCCGACTGCCTTTTGGAGTGCTGCTTATCTTCAATACCTTTGAGTTCCTTCTGTGTTTCTACCTGTCTGTGTAACTTTAAAATGAAAGAAAGCAAGTAATAGTGAGTACTTTTATTTGTTTTGTTTTTTTACTGAGATTGGGGGGATACTGGTCTCAAGGAATCACAACTTCTATGGTACCAGGAAAAAGCGTCAGAGTGAGCGCTCCCTACTCCTCTCTGCTCTCTGCGGTGCAACCGGATCAGGGCAGAGCAGAGGCACGCACAAGAGGATTGTTTGCCTCCAAATGAGCCAATGAGATCGGCTTTACATTAGACTGACAGTCGGCCCTAGCGAGTCCGGAGACGGCATTCTGGTCCGACAACTTCTCGACAGCCAATACGGATCCACGACGGACCGGAACCGAGGGAAAAAAAGAAAATACGAATTTGGTTTCCCTGTAGGTCAAAACGTTACCTGGCACCTGCAACAGAGGAACTTTTTTTTTTTGGAGGAGAAAGGGTGTCAACATCCACAGCAATGGCTATGTCGCAGTACCTGGACGACTCTCCTCTGAGGTTGGGTCCGAAACCCACCGGGGTCGAGGACCTGAACCTGCTGGAGGTGTACAACGAGAGACACCGGCTGGCGTTGGAGGAGCTGCTGTCGGGAGGGCTCGACAACTTCCTGGACTTCCTCGGGAAAGAGAGGATCCCCAACTTTCTGTCGGACGACGAGATGCAGCGGATCAGGAGCGCCGCCGTGCCCCCGCGCTGCGTGTCCTTCCACGGGGAGGACCAGGCGCTGGAGCAGTCGCTCGGCAGCTCCATGGACTGCTCCACCGTCACCTACTTCCCCGAGGTGTCGGACGTGGAGCCGCCGGTGCTGGAGATCGGCTGGCCCGGCTTCACCGCCGGCTCGTACCGGGGCGTCACGCGGGCCGTGGCCCACTTCCAGCCCAGCTACGGGGACTGCATATACAGCTGCAAGGAGGCGGCGAGGCGAATGATTAAAAGTGCCACAGAGGTATGCACAAATAACGTATTAAAAGAACAGCTGCATACCTGTTGTATCTAATAACCACCTTTTTAATAATTCGTTATTTGGCAATAATAACAATATTTTCCTTTAGAGATATTCTGCTGGCACCATGCTGATATTCCTGAAGGGACATGCTGGATAATATCTCATTTTAGTACATTTTTGTATTTTCTACTTTCACATTATAGCCTAATATTTCTACAGCGATACCATGACAGCATAGTGTGTGTGGTATCTTCCTAAAACAGGATTATTTTTTTGGCTGTTTGTCAAATTCAAATTGATGTATTATTTTTATAAATATATTCTAAAATTCACATTTTATCAAATGGCCCCCTGCCACAAAATAATGAAGTGTGTGTGTGTGTGTGTGTGGTCCCTTATTGTCAGAGGAAAAACTCAAATTCTAAATCCTCTTTGTATTATTAAAACACATGCCAGATTGTCCCCATGGAATTTCCTTGATCAGTCCGAACATTTGGAAGGTTTTTTGAAGTCTTGATCAGAAAGAAAGCAGTGATCAAAAGGATCAAACAGTTAACAAACAAAACAACCTCATGAATATTCATGCTGATGCTCCTGACTGGAGCTGTCAGTCTCGCCCCTGTTTTTTGAAAAGAAACATTCCAGCGTGAAGGGAGTTTGTGGCTCCAGCAGCACCTCAGGCCTGAGGAGTGCCTGCGTGCCAGATGTGCCTCGACTTGCTTTGCTCCCTTCTATCAAAGTTTGCATTCCCTCTTCATTAGAGAGCTTTAAATGCTGGATGTCCTCTCTGGTTTACAGCTAAAATGTGGTGTGTGTGTATACACGGTGTGCCGGCAACCAGTTGAAACCTTAGTCAAATATTCTCAGCCGAGTTTAACCTTTTGGTCGTCTGTGTTGTTGTGATGTTAAACCACTCACAGCACACAGTCTTTATTGTGCGACGAGGCCGCTGACTGTAACAACGCATCTACAGTACATTGGCTCACAGGAACAGCCTGATCCTGTATTTCTGTGAAATTGAAATCTGTTTGTGCACATTTCTCCTAAAAATAAGCACCAATCCAGATAAGGTGGTGAACTCCTGACAAAACTGCATGTGGATAAACACCAGTTAAATCTGAGCTACGTAAACATCCGTGTCTAATCCTCGACACACAACCTTTGCCGCAGCATGTGAAATTCCATTCTTCCTCGCGAAGAAAAGAGGGAAGTCTCTCAGTGCGAACCTAAGCTCAAAAAAAAAAAAAAAAAAAAAATGGAGGCCAGCCCCACGGTGCCCGTTCTTGTCTCCGGCATGAAAGTAACTTGTCTGCTGACCCAAGTGTTACTGTCGATAGCCATGGTAACAGACCACAGTCAACAGCACGCTCGTCACCGGGAGTGTGTGTCGGAGCGCTTCGCTGCTCTGTTTGAATAAGGCCTCGCATTTGAAAATAATAAAAAACACAGTCATGTGCTGCTTACATCTGTGAGAGCACGGCCGCAGAATTCTATTATATTACCTCTGTAATTTTCCACTGCAGGTGATTGCCATAGTTACAGACTCCCTGACAGACCTGGATATCTTTAAGGATCTTAAGGAGGCGTGCTCCCTCCGCAAAGTCCCCGTCTACATCCTGCTGGACCAATCGTGTGCTCCTGCTTTCCTCAAGATGTGCAAAAATGTCGGTGTTCGCCTGGATGACCTTCGGGTGCGTGTGGTTGTTTCAGTGAAGCTGGGTGTGGCTCTGTGTGCACAACACAAACATCACATGGCATCAAATTAAAATAACGTCTTTTAATATTTGATATGATACTGGGTGGGTCTGCACTTATCTCTCGATCCTGTTGTTTCTCTTTCTTTTCTTTTTAATCCTTTCAGCAAATGAGAGTGCGAACCATAACTGGTACAACCTATTACATGAGATCTGGAGCGAGGATCACTGGAGAAGTTCATGAGAGGTTCATGCTGATTGATGGGAACAGAGTGGCTACAGGTTCCTACAGGTAACAGACTGCTAACCATTTTACCTAAATCTAAATGCTTTAGCTGCTGATTGTGTGGCATGGAGATGCCTCAAACCCACAGATTTAACAGGCTTTAAGTTAATACATTTTTCTTGCTGGGTTTGGATAATTGTAGCTGCTTACCTTTCAGTAAGTCATGCATGTTGAATTTCATTCCTGTGCAGGTACAACTGGACTGACGGCAAACTAAACAGCAGCAACCTAATCGAGCTTTCTGGTCAGATAACGGAGAAATTTGACGAGGAATTCCGCATCCTCTACGCCCAGTCGTTACCGATGAACACTCGAGGGCCTCCGAGTGTCCGAAACAGCGGCATCTACGAGCATCTCCTCATCAAACACTCGGTCGCCTCTTCCCCTCACCTGACCAGCACACCCAGCCGTAAGCCCCTGAACTTAGCTGTCCCGCCCCCTTGCGAACCCTCCACTCCCGATCATCCTAAAACCGGCCTAGCGTCCGACTCCTCCACCATAGGTGAGGACTGGACGGAGCAGCAGGACATGCAGGAGGATATCCTGGCCGGCAGCACCACGCAACGTTTTCCCGCAGATCAGCTAGCGGAGAAAGAGCCAGCGACCGTCTCCTGCCACGCCGCCACTCAGACCAGCCGGTCGGTGACGGACAGCGACACTCAAACTGACCTCCAGCTCACACAATGCCCCGACCTTATCGCACCAAAGAGTACAGCGCTAAACCAGGCCACCTCTCCCTCCTTTACCTCTCCCAGACAGAGCTCGCCCACCCAGGCAGCTCCAGACGGCACCTTGAAGGACTCCTTCCACAAGTTAACCAAAGAGCGCCATTACCACTACTCAACCATCCGCTCCAAGCTGGAGCACATGGTGACCGCCCTGTCCCAGAGGCAAGAGCTAGCGGACGTCACCAACATGACTCACGGGCCTGGCTATCACAGCAGGCAGAGGGTGCACAGAAACTGTGAGCAGGAACCAAACCCCAGACTGCTTGTTGAAAGTGCGGGCATGGGCACGTGGCCAAGAACCAGATGTATACACTAGTCTGTCTTCAGGGATTTTCGGAGATGGAGGGTCGTGGGAGAAGGATCTTCTGTTTCATATAAACGGTTTAGGCTTGTGCGGTAGAATTCTAGCTTTCTTCTATTTGTCTTATTTTTTCGAGTAATGGTAAGGGCAGTATCTTAATCAACACTTTTTTTTTTTTTGTCCAAGGACACGTGCAATATTCACTGTTTGTCCGTGTCAGTTTAAGGAAAATGATTTGCTGAGCCGGTTCCAACTGGAAAATATCTGCTGCAGTGTGAGTGAAAATGCACTGAAGCTCTTTTTTTGGATAATTTAATCACATTTGTGCGATAACTGCATCCGAACAACATACAAGAGAGCAGCTGTCTCTCACTGTGCTTTCTTAATAAACAGTAGTATTTGGCTTGATGAATGCTTATTTTATTTTTGGCTCTTCAAACTATTTGTGTTCCATTTAAGCTTTTCATAAAGCTTCACTTTAAGCTCATGAGCGTACAGTTTTTTTAAAAGAAAGTTACTTTTACTAAAGATAAAATATTATGGTATGTTGGCACTGTTCAGGCAATCACTGATAAAGACATTAAAGGTGGTGCAGTAAAGCAAAATGTGTCCAGTCGACTCGAAGACTTGACCCAATGCATCGTTACTTATTATTAATATTTCTACATGCTATTCTATGACTATTTAAAACCAATCAATTATGTGTATTCTGATGAGCGTCGCCCTCGACTCCAGTGTGATATTCACACACGGGGAGGAGACCCAACAGTTGGAGAAATACGTGAGTCAGAGAAGTTATTTCACATGACGTTCTCCAAGAAGAGAGAAGTGGACAACGAGACCAGAGAAACCAGAACCTTTAACCAAGAATGGAGAGACTCGTATATCTTCATTCTTCCTGAGACAGTTTAAAGCCAGTATGTCTCACGTGTTCAGAGATCGTGACGATTATTAGAAGCAATGTGAAGCGCCACAACGAGACAAAGCACAAATCTTCTGAGCAAACGTACCCTTACGAATCCAAAAATGAAGGCACAGAAAAATAAACCTAAGAGTCCGATATGATCAGAATCCTAAAACATGAGGTCACTGTCCAACAATGATGTAAACAGAGAGAACAGAGCTGAAACAAGTGGTTTCAATAACCACAGATAAAGTCCCTACTCACAATCTTCTCTTTTTAGAAGATGAGAATATGGATATCTTGGCTTTTATGATTGACATCACTTCACACCTGAATCTAATTAATTTAAAACTGCAGGACAATTTAATTAAATTCATTTATTTTAAGAGTCACATTTTTCAAAAGCTTTCTGTTATGTATTTTATTTTTTAAATCCAGTCCAAATTAGATGTTATTGTGATGTTCCGGACCTTTGCATGATGACTTTTACTAAGACTTTTTATGGACCCTTTTTTTTTTTTTTACATACTTAATATAACTTATATTGACAAACTATACTATGAACTTCTTTTGACAAATTATACTATCACATCTTTTGACTTTTTTTCGACATAGTACGTTAACATTTCTTTTACTTTGCTTGACATACTATACTGTGACTTTTTTCAACATTTTATCATATTAGATATATTCGATTTTTTTTCTATCTCTTTTTTCCCGACATGCTGTACTATGACTTTTTTATTTATTTTTTTTACAATTTTTGTCATGCTATACTATGACTTTGCTAAACATACTACACTGCATTTTTTGACATGCTACTCAATTAGTTTTTTTCTGTGAAATATCATACTGAGTGTTTTCAACATGCTATACTATGACTTTTTTCGACATGCTATCATATAACGTTTTTATGACTTTTACGACACAATGTTCTCTGACTTTTTAATGACTTTTCTCGACATCCTCAGCTGTGACTTTTTTATGATTAAACCCATGACCTCCACTGGTCTGCTATCACCCCGAGCTATCTGATATGACTCACTTCATCTGTGTTACGTAACGTATTTTACTCCTTCACTTTGGGTGGTAGATCTTCAAATGTACCGCAGTATTTGAGGACCGCACCCTGAACTTCCAAGTACCTGGCACAACTAACCACAATTTCACAGCATATTTGCCTTTCTTCACTTTGGGTGTTTAACCTTAAAATTCACTGCACCACATACGGATTTAACCCACCGTCTGATCTAACACACTTCACCACAGCTTCAAAGCATATTTGACATCTTCACCTTTGGTGTTGAAACTCAAAATGAACTGTGCCTCATAAGGATGGAACCCACAACCTTCTCATATCCAGAGCTATTTGATCTGTGATACCTGACCACTATTTCATAGAGCTATTGTTTATCTCGACAGGGATTCAGGATTTGATGTTTTAACTTCATTCTTTTATTGTAGCTTACAGCTTTTATTTCTGAGTAACTCTCTGGTTAAGAAATGAGGTTTCCCCTGTTGATCTTGTTCACATTAATCGACAGGTATAGTGAAAGCTTTGAGGACAGGGCAGGATTTGATCCCTTAGTTTCACATGCATGTCATGTTCTTGGATTGAGACACTTCATTTAGCCATTGATTCCCATCACCCACCCACCGTTAAGTTAAAACTGTAAATGTAAGTGTTTCAGCCAGTGCAGAATTCCGGTTTGTCGCTGGCTAAAACCAAACTATGATAACACATCATGTATCCTCTGAATAACAATTTTCAAACAAGTGATAACTTAATGCTACATTACTATAATTAGTTACACAACTGACTACAGTTGCTGGATTGGTCAAAAATTAATCCAAACCTGAACTGAATCAAATTTGTGAAAAGGCTACATAGCTCAACTTCTAAACAAACCTTTTATTATACTTTGAAGCTGTCTGATTGGTTGTTTCTTAGACCAACGCTCTCTCAGACTTGTAGGTGACTCCTAACATTTATTAATTAAACTTTTTAAAGGAAACTTCTGTTTTTTCGTAGCGAGGATTTGTGTTGAAAATGTTTCGACAGACAGTCGCCTATCTTTTCAACTGAACTCTGACTAAATAAGTATTTTTGGAGTGTACCAGTTCCTTTCACTTCATGCTGTAACACCCCTGTTGTAATCCAGTGTTCATTTATAATAATTCATGATAAAAGATGTATTATGAAACACTATACTATGTAATTCTTTATGACCCTTTCATGACATACTTTGCTGTAATTTACATTACTATGACATTATTATGGCTAAAAACTATGATTTGTTTCATGGAATACTAAACTGTGACTTTTCTGTGTTTTTTCAGACATACTATACAAACACTCTGAAGAAATACTACACTATGACCTTTTTTTTGGAATACTATGCTGTGACTTTTTTTGATCTACTGTATGTCATCTTCATGGTATGCTATAAAAGGACTTGATTTGACATATGATACTGTGGCTTCTTTTCAAAATACTATAATATGTCTATTTTCTGACAAACTATTATGTCTTTTTATGACACTTATCAATATATTAGAAATCTTTGGTCTTTTTTAGCATACTACACTATGCCTTTAAAAAAACATTTCATCTACTTTACTACTTTACATTTTCATGTTGTTTCATGGTCTTTATGATATACTATGTCTCTTTTGAACATACTATTCTTTTACTTTTTTTCTATGTACTATACTCTGGCTTTTTATGACTCTTTTTGACGATGATTTTTTTATGATTGTTTGACTACTGACATACTAGCCTATGATTTTGGCAGTACCCACTGGGTGAAAATAGCTGTACTTTATATGACATTTTTACGACATTTCTTCTATTGGGCTTGCATTACACCGGTGTAAACTGCCTGGCATACTGAGTATGCCGGGCAGACACACAGCTGACAACTTTGCAGCTTAACTACTTGATGCGGTAGAGACTTACTGGGAAAGAACCTGCATGTGTCCATGACCATGCATGGAACATTGTGGCTGCTAACTCTGCCAGTTAATGAGGGTCAGAAATAAAACAATCTAAAGCAGCATCCCTGTATGATATACTGTATTGTTTTTATGGCATATTAGATATTACCATATTTGTATGATACTTTTGAAGGCATACTATATTGGGACATATTTTATTACGCTTTTCTATTGCATACCATACTATGACTTTATAGGACATGCTTTGGCATTTTTATGACACACTATAGTATAACCTTTTTATGACTACTACAACTACAACGACAACTACGAATGTTACTCCAACAGCTACTACAAGAACTAGTACTTCTACAAAAACAATTATTACTAATACTACTACAACTAAGACAACAACTTCAACTATTACTACAACTTCTAGTTACCAAATGTTTGTGTCATGGACTCCACGAGTCGCCTCCTCGTGGCCCGTTGTTCATTCAGCAGTCTGGACAGAAAACAGAGAGATGGAAACCAACATTTATAAAACATCGTGTCTCCGGCTTCATAGATCAAAGCCTACAACACAAAACACAGATAGGTGTCAGGGTTTATGTTACCCAGCTTATGCCAGCTTTTTGCTGGTATCACTTGTAGTTGTCCGTCAGATGAAAAGACCAACGCTAAAAATGTCAGATGAGAAATATGCCAAATAAATAAAGAAATTGATCTTACTGTAAAACAAAGAATCTCTTGTCTGTATGTGTATGTGTACTATAGTATGTGTGCATATCAGAATCAGAATCAGCTTTATTGGCCATGTATGCGTACGCACACAATGAATTTGACTCCTTACGTTGCTCTCAACGTGCATACACAGAATATACAAAAAAAAAAAAATGTACAACAAAGTAGACAAGAGGTAAGCATAGACATTTAACTACTATGTACAAATGTAAATATATATATATCCAAAAGTATATATATATGAACATAAAGCACAACAAACAATGACAATGGAATTGAGGTATTAGTGCAGAATGGTGCTGACAATAATCGGAAGTCATTTTGAATGGTGGTTCTATATGGGCACTACGTGCTGTTGAGCTTGGCACAAACAGTGTTTTTGTCTTCATATCTCAATGGAAAGCACAAAGGTCCTACTGGTGAGTGATCAAAGCAAGTCAGAGTCCTGGCTCTGGTGAGACGTGTGCTCACAATGCCTTGAGTTATAAATGTATTACTCACTCTGAGCTGTGGGCGAATAATGTTTAACTGGCTATGAAGTGTAACTATCCCGTATCAAGATGTACAGATAGCTGCATTCACAGAGGAAGGAGAGCTGTTGATGTGGCTATAGCATGTGATGGAAAGCAGGAATCTGAAGGTGATTAAAGGACTGTGTTTACAGGTGAACAACTAAAGGGTGTAGTAAAATAATGAGTAATGAGAATAAACTTTTATGGCATCACGGTTTAAAACAAACGTCCTGCTATTTACTCTAAATGAACACATTTATGATGGAACACTGCCAAAATCATCATATAGAAGATGTATTTTTAAAG